TTTTTTACAACGGTCACAGTTTGACCAAGCTTGAACTTAAAGGATTCAACCCCACTTAAGCGGACAGAAAGACGAAAATATACTTCATAGCGGTAGAGTTAAGAGCAGCTGTTTAAAAAATCGTTGGAGTGCATTTCCGGCGAGAGATGGGCGTTTCCTGCCACTTTTAAGCATGTCAATAACATGACCTCCTAGAAAAAGCCGTTAATCACGAACCGTTCAAGTCAAAGCCTCTAAGTTTATCAACATGTCTACAAATTATGCAAATCGAAATAGACAAAATTTCAGCACCGAACATTAAGCTGTTCCGAAGTTATTCCAGAGAAAGTCCTTATGAAAGCCTTTAAGGCCCTCCTCGCGGGGCAAGAATGGAGAGTCGAATTTGTGTTTACTTTTCTCATATCAGGAGCGTGTTCAAAGCATGCACCAGGCCTTCGTGTCTTTCATCAAACTTGGCATTGCATTAGTATGCATGTGAATGAGTTTCAGCAACTACAAATTGTAGTGACTTGTAGTGAGGAAGTTCCAAATATCTTAAATTTTGTTCTATTATAAACAAATTATTGGTTTCTTCCAAAGAATATGCAATAATTGCCTGGCATCGTCGAAACGCTAGATGTTGCTCGGCCACTTTCAGCCGTCAGTACTGTTTTGAGTTAAGGACTGAATAAATTAAGGATGCTATCTAATAAAATTCCACGAATGCAACGAATCCAGTTTTTTTATATGCATGCACAAACCTGTGAGAGCATTGGATTGAAACCCCCCTGTGGGAAGCAAACCAAACAGCATCGACTGTCGTGACAAGGCGGTGCGATTGAATTTATTATAATAAATATATAGTGTCCAGCATGGCTCCCCTCTATAAACTGTCTTTGGGAGCCTGAATGATTCAAAGATGCATGGAAAACGTTTGGAGTGCTTTGTCGAAATGAGATGCATACAAACTTACTCCCTCTCAATTGAATTTAATAGTGAGATCCGTCATAACAATATCTTCTCCGTGTCGTTGGTTCCCGCATCATGAACGTCGGACACCGCCCGCCGTTTTGCGCTTATACAGCGTAGTGTCATACAGTTTTTGTGCTTTCGGTCCATCTTGTTGACGGCATGGGTCGTGACCGCTGATTCACCGTTGCAGTTGTAGTGCAGTGCGAATTGCATATTTTTGGATAGGGTCCTTGAGTCTGATGATGTCTGCCGGATTTTTTTTCGGTCAAAATCACCACAAACTTAGATGCTTCGATGGAACTGCACAGTTACTAAGCGCGTCATGGGACATTGGCTCTGATCCACGGGCCAAAGTGCAAGCATGGGACTAGCAACAACAAATTTTAGACAATTTTTCGGCAAAGTTGTCCACTTCCCGCCGTGCCACCCATTGTCTCCACTTGTCAACGGCCCCAACAGGTCGTTTTCCTCGTGTTTGCTGACTGGACTTCCTTTAACAAGTAAGTTGAATCCTTGTGAATCGAAATTGCTACGTCCACTGTTTCATTGGGCATGTTTCGCTGCAAAATATTTGGGCATTTCAATACGCTTAGGTTGCAGTGAAAGCGGGGAACCAAATAATTAAATTCGTAACATGGGCATGCATGAGAACCGTTCTCCACAGCGACCATGACCATACAACCGTGCCATGAAATACGTGATCATAAAGCGTGCTTGTACAGCTCGGTATCTATCGTGTTTGACTAACTGCACTGATTTTTCATTCAACAATCAAAAATTAGGTATCACATGCTAAGTCATTCTGTTAAGAAATGCCGTATAAGATTTGTTTGACCGCCAGTTTTGCTCAGTAGTATTTTACAGCCCTGCTCAGAGGATTGCCGAGCAACAGAATTTTTTCGCCCCTCGCGACAGCAATGTGCGCAGGCAAATCCAAACTAGGCTTTAAATGGACTTTGTCAGCATAAGCAAATGACAAACATTTGCTTAAGGTGTGTCTGTCTGTCCGTTTGTCTGTCTGTCTGTCCGAATGTCCCATTTAGCGTTGCGTCGTGCTCGGGCCGGACCGACGGGTCGCTGAATGGTTGACTTTGGACACGACGCGAGGGTGCACGAGGCAGCTTTTAACAAGTAGTTCGCGACCAGCTGTTGTCCATGGTTCGACTATGGCACGTGCCGGAAAGTACCACTTGAGCCCCATTGATTTTGCAGGGGCCGCATGAAATGTAGCCCACGACAAACTCATCAGCAGCTGTTCGAAAACGTGGAAACATCTTGTAGCTAGGGCTCGAAGCGATAAGAAAGTGGCAAAGAATTGAATGGGAAATGGTTTGTAGGGAAATGAACGGGAAATCACGTGGTTGCGACATGTCTGTTGCAGGTGTCCACGTTGCACGTGGACAAAAGCGTTCAAGGTGGACTTGCCTGTTTTTTTTTACGGTTTTTCATGTGTTGTACCATATCTTCGCAGCCAGAACGGTAGAGGCACAAATGCAAATCTCAAAGCGCACAGCACGTACCATCTACAGTTAATGTGGCCCAACACCCGGGTCTGTGCGAAGCGCGATCGCACTATTAGCCGTCAGGTGAACCGGGAATGTAGCATTTATAAAAACGGTGCCGTATACAACACACCGCCGTTGAAACTGCAGCCATTTAAGAGGTAAAATTAACATGGCCGCATGCAATGATTCGTTAAAGTGGTCATCAACCAGTTATTTAGCATTGCGTGAACTGTTTTTAATGATCAAATGTGCCTAAAGGTCTGTAATTCCACATGTTTTGCGCCTCCAAAACTGCTTGTTCGCTCAGTCATCGCCGGCGAGTATTTTGCAACACAACGGAGCCGCACACGCCAAACGCAGTCATCCAGCTTCAGTTGGCTCATTGGTTGCGGCGAAAAAGGCGAAAAAGCCGCAGTGACAGGTATAGATGCGATGAGGTCAAAGGTCGATAGGATGAGACGACTCAAGACATGCAGTAATTTGTCAGCGGAGCTCACTGCTAAGGCAAAGCAGTACTCCCACTGGCTTCGCGGAGTGTGTTTTGAAGTCACTGCAGAGCCTAACAACACAGAAGATCGCAGTGGCACTGAAGCGACGCGGCAGAGTTAGAGATCTGCATCTGCAAGGGTAGCAAGAATGGCTTCTGTGACGCTTTGGAATGCGTAGCAACACTCAGTCACAGTGAAATTTGGGTAGCAGATTTGAAAGCTGAAATCTTTATTTTATCATAGTAAACAGACTACGGGCAATTTCAGAACGCCCTGCGCCGGTGGCGGCTGATACGCTTCGCTCGGGTGGAGGGGGGGGGGGTAATTTGACCGCTGATCTCGGGTATGAAAAGCTAGAGACACCAAATTTGCAGGGTGCATTGACTGTACGTAAACTCACTTAGACCTTGAAGTTCCTAGGTCATGACCTTTGGGTCAAAAAGGTCAAACAATGTCAAATCCAGGTTGTTCAAGTGCCCCCAGAACCTAATAAAAGTTTTAAGCAAAAGTCCCACGCTTATTTAAGGTCAGCGACTTATTTACTTTTGAAGGTCATAGGGACCAAAATACAAGACTGCTCTAGTTTTGCATCAATAAGCAAAAAATTACGCCAGGCAGTATGTTCCTAAAAACAAAAGGTTGTTCTGGTCATCTTAGGTCAGTGACCTATTATGCCTCTAAGAAGTCCCTGGAGATCTATAATGCGGTTCCTGCTATCAATAACCCGAAATAAGCACCAAAACTATTCCATACAGTAAGCCCTAGCATAATAAACAGGTTGGTTTTGGCCTTGGTCGGACTTTATACCTGACCTCACACATTATTTGCTCATTCAATATTTGTGTTGCCTAAGAAAGCATCTCAGAGATGCATGGCTTCGTCTAACACTCCGTTGTTGCATCAGATTGAGTGGTTCCCTAGAAATTGCCTTTGCTGACACCATGGGCTAACTTTGACCTGCCATAGGTCGGCGACCTTACAATATACACCTTCTATTCAATTGTACAGTTATGCTGCAGAATTTGGCGTGGCTACGCTGCGTCGCTCGGAAACTAT